ATGGAGTTTCCTAAAACAATTGCAGATAGATCTACCATATGACCCAGCTATCCCATTGCTGGGAATATACCCAGAGGAATGGAAATCATCAAGTCGAAGGTATATCTGTTGCCGAATGTTCATTGCATTATTCTTTACAATAGCTAAGAGTTGGAACCAGCCCAAATGTCCATCATCAGATGAGTAGATATGGAAAATGTGGTATATCTACACAATGGAATACTACTCAGCTATAAGAAAGAATGAAATCCTGCCATTTGCAACGACATGGATGGACCTAGAGAGAATTATATTAAGAGAAATGAGTCAGGCACAGAAAGAGAAATATCACACGTTCTCACTTATTTGTGGGAGCTAAAAATAAATAAATAAATACACAAATAAACTGTGGGGGGGAGAAGACAACAGTCACAATTCCTTGAAGTTGTTATGACAAGCGAACAGATGTGAGATTGTTGGGAGGGAGGGGGCAGAGGGAGGAGGGAAGGAGGGGGGAGAGGGAGGAGGGAGGGAGGTTTCGGTAATGGGCCACAATAATCAACCACATTGTATATTGACAAAATAAAATAAAATTAAAAAAATAAAGAAAAACAGATTTAAATTTATTCCCTCTGGTTTTGAATTGTTGTTTGCTTATTTTAAATACACTGAGGATAAAAGATCTAACAGAGCATTTATCTGCAACAACACCAATGAACTGTGCCCGTCACAGGTAATCAATGCTGAACATAAACTCATTAGCTAACAGCTGAATAGAAAGATTTATAGTGTCAGCTCATCAGCAAAATCCACCATACAAAGCCAACTCTCAAGGAAAGCGGCAAAAACCACTTCACTTTTAGAACAATTCTGGCAAAGGATGAAAAACTGATTTAGCAGAGCACTGTTTAACAGTTAAAAGCATGGGTTTTGCAGTCAGAACTCAGTTTCCACCCTGGCTCTGTCACTTAGCAGCTATGTGAAACTATGATGTCTCTCTGAATCTCAGTATCCTCATCTGTAGAATGGGGAAAATGGCCTACAACTTACCGGAATCAAATGAAATGATAGATACGCAGGGCATGTAGAACTCAATAAATACTACATATTATTTAAAACTATTATTATTACTGTTATAATTACTTATCTAAAGATTTGGTATTCAGGACCACCATTTTTGTACCTATCCCAACTTAACAACCTAATTCTCTTCTATTTCTGGCCAGTCTCCTCCTCTTTTCCTATCAAATAATTTTAAATCTTATTTCTAATGGCCTTGATTCCAAAGACGCATTTTTCCCCAGACTGCACTAACACCTTTGCTATCCGTCTCAAAACTAAGGGCAGCATCAGATGAATGCTTTCCAAACCTGTTTTGTCACAATTTATAACCTACCTTCCTAACCTCGCTCAGCTCAATCCTTGCCTTATTAAACCTGCCTGGACAAATCCTAAAGGAATCTTCAGCTACATATATTAATCGTGTATGTTGTCAACAGCCCAGGTATTTAATTACCCAATATTGCCACACAACCATAACCATCACTTATTTCTAACTTCCTAAAACACATTTTATGCCTCAGACACTGTACTTTCTACAAGCATTGCATATACCTGCACTAGCTTCTAAAAATGCTTGAAGTTCTTACTTAGGAATAACTAGCAAATTACCAAGAGTGGAAAAAGATGTTGATGACTTGAATTATGGAAGAGAGTGGTTCCATGGTCTACATTTTAATAAGAAAATTTGTTTGGACAAAACAAAAAGTTTAATGACTCAGGCTAACCAAACTCTGGAAAGACAAGCCCAACCATTAATCATCTCATCCTTCCAGATGTTTACCAAAAAGTATTATCTTATTCGACTCTTTAAAGCTCAAAGGGCAAAACACAGCAGATATGTTTCAGTTTTATGAATCTGCATTCTTTAATAGTTAAGAAGTAAAAGTCTTTTGAGACAACACAAATTGGGTAAGTTAAGACAATATACCACTAACAGCAGGACTGACTTCGTTGTTATGTTCACATGGAGTTTGTATACTCTAAAAACTTAGTGACAAAACTCTTGGGCAACATCTGCTTCATACATCGCTGAGAAAGAGATGCACAGAAAGGTAGAAGAATGTTTTGTTTAGTTTTTTAAAAGAGAAGCTATATGAACAAAAGAAAATTTACTATATTTGCAACCAGCTCAATTTCACATGACCAATCCAAGATGAATGGTCAAGTTAAAATTTCTGTACACATTCATCTGTATCTACACATTCTCCCACTTAAAATATTTACATATACAGTACAAAAAGACAAAAACTTGGGTTGAAGAAAATGATGATCATTATTCTGGAACAAAACTGTAGAAAAGAGCAATTGGGTTTTTCAGTATGATTTGAAATAAATGTCATGATGGAAGACTAAATGGTAGAAAGGAGAGCAACTAAATTCCTTCTAGTGTTGTAAGCAATCTTGGGGTTGCACAGCGGATAAAAGACAGAAGCTGGGATTTCAGACAGAGGCAAGGACATTAAATAGTGTAGAACATGTCAGGAAGACTAGGTAGGTTAAGAGAGAATACACAAAAGGCAAGAACCAGGAGACAGAAAATAAAAGAAGGGATTCCGAGGTCTAAAACATGGTTCAATAATCCAAGCTGATTACAAATAAAACTTGAAATACATTTCAGTGGTCGGTCTATATAGGTGTACTCTCAGGTTAGAAAGTATTTCAACTCTTTAAGTCATGGTCAGTTGTTCACTCGACATTATTATCTCATTTCACTTTGATTAAAGATTTTTCTTCTACTTAGCTATGACACAGAGATTAAAACACTAATAAGTTATGACATTTAAGAATAAATCAGAAAAGAACCCAACTGAAGAAGAAAACAGAATAGACATTTTCATATAATCCCCTACAATTTGTTCAAATCTAGTCAATAAAATTTTTTGGCAGCTAAACCAGAGGGAAAACATGTTTTGTGGCAGATTCTAAGGCAGTTCATTCACAGCTGGAAAAGCTGTATGCTATACACAGGGAGAGGAAAAAGAGAGACAACAGGCAGAGGAAAGCCAGGAGCTAGATGCAGCAGAGGAGTGAGTAGTCAGTTCAGGCTACCCTCCCCCGACTCAAGTCAGGAGACTGCTTAATTAACCCTTCAAAAAGGGCTCTGTTTCCACCTATAAATCAGAAAATCTGGCAATAAAACCCCAAGGAGGATTTAAGCTGAAGACCATATTTTGTTCATCATTTATTCAATCAATAAAGATCTACTAAACAAGATTGCTATTCCAACCAAACACAAGTTGGGGAGGAAAGTCTCTAAAATGATAGTTGTGAGTACATGAAAGATGAGTTACTATCAGAACTTCTTTTATGTTTACTTTTTACTTTTCCCTATTTACTTTTACTTTTTTTTTTTCCTTTTTGTCTTTTTTACTGACCGGTAACGGGATCGCAACCCTCGGTGTCATGCCCGTACCGGGGAC